GCCGCGATTTCTGATATTATTTTTCTGCGAAAACTTCGTTGACCTTTGGAGACATCATTAATATAAATAATTTTTATGGCCGTTAAATAAGAAATGTTTCTTTCACAAGAAATGTATAAAATTACAGTACTAAACAGACGATAGGTCGCCTAACTCGCCGTAGCGTGACGCTAGACGGCGAAAAATATATATTTAATTATAATAAAGTTACAATAAATTAAGTTAATATATAATTATATATACAGTACCTAATTTATATATAATTAATATATAATTATATGTACAGTACCTAATTTATATATAATTTATATAATACTGTCCAGACGATAGAAATCTCTCCGTAGCGTGGCGCTACGGACGGCGGGTAAGTAGTTCGGCTGCCCGATGACGTTTTACGTATTATAGGAGTTATTTTTACCATTGTTTACAGATAATGCCACAATTTTTATAGGAATCATAACTATAGGAAACGCTTTTATAGGGGGATCTACTGTACTTTTTTAACAAGCGACGTATAATCGGGAACGACGTAACTCGAAACCGACGTAAGTCGAGGTATGCCTGTAATTAAAAACCGTAATAAAAGTATACATTTTAAAGAAATATTTATAAATTTAAAATACAGTACTCAAAACTAATTTCATTATTCTTTAAAAGTCGTGGAACAATGTCAATTAGTTTTATGTTCAAATGCAGATAACGAGTTCAATGGTCGGTTAACCACCATAACCACCCGGCAGTCCTATTCGGGAAGACGTTATATCAAGGTTTGACAATAGCTCTTTTTTTAAAACTCTCCGCTCTGTGAGCACTAAGACGACCTTTCTTTGTAAGCCCATTATGGATTCGGTCGGGCTTCGGGTGATGAGAGACGGGGCCCAACGTATCAGGACGGACCAACATTCGAGAAATTCCTAGAGTTTTGATCTGTCCGGATTCAATTTCGGATCCCCCGGAGCCGTAGGCCGCCACCTTAATCGCTAAGCATTCCGGCCGTCCGACAGTAATTCTAAGAAACTAAGAAAATTAATTACGTTATTTGTAACTGAACTACCTTTTATTTAAATATGAGAAAATTAATATAATCGAAAATCCTAAATAAGATTAGTTTTTAAATTATTTATTTATCTCAGTGAAATATTTTAACTTTGAAATTGACTATTTAAATCCTGGCAACACTGATCTAGTATCAGTTATTGAGGTATGATGGTAGGATTTTTGAGAATTTCCAAGAATTTGGGTAATTAAAAACAATTTATATAAAAATAATGTTGTTTAAAACTTAAGAGAATAAAGTTTTATTCGCTATAATATTCGAGATCATTGGTTAAAGTTTACCTAGGGAACCCCAATGGCGGCGCTTCCAACTGTTCGTAGTCCTGACGGACTCCTCCCGGAGGGGAGCCGCCTAGTGCCAAACGTCACTAGTTATTGATTCACGGTAGTTTTTGAACAAAATTAAAAAAAAAAGAAAAAAAGAAAACCTCTACTAAAAATTTAATTAATTTAACCTAACCTAACCGAAGCGCCGCCAGTGCCCTAGTTCCCTAGGTAAACTTTGACCTTTGACTCCTATGGTATGCCAATTGTAACATTTATAGTCCAACTAGGGACGTGTTTTGGAACTGATGAAAATGGGGTCTAAAACTGATTGAACTTTGGTTATTTTTTAAAATTTATTTATTTATTGATCTATAAATTGGGATATTATGTTGGCGTGTTAATACATTTGCTCTGTTCAAAGATTGATTCTATAATCAAATATTAAAAACACAAAAAACCAGGGATGGTCCATGGAAGTCTGGGATGTATGTTCAACTACCAACAGGCGTGGTTTACAGGTATGATAAGGCCCTAACGTTCTTATTCAGAGCTGCAGTTGTACCAATATAAGTGAATTGCATTGAATTTTGTAATGTGTACTTTTTTATATTCATTTTTGACTCTCCCCCTGTGGGTACTAAGAGATGCTTTCTAGTTGTGGTTTTGGGTTTGGCTGGGCCCACCCACAACTGATGAAGCTGGCCTAGTATTGAGGTACAGTCAGTGGAGTAGTGTGGATGTCAGCCATCTGGTGCGGAGGAAAATTTCGCTGTCCCCTTAAAAGACTAAAATTCAGTTTTGTCACAGAATAAGTAATGAAAAATTTCGTGCTCGTTTCAACGTCCGAATCCTAGGTGCGACAAAAATATGAAATGAAATGGTTCAAATGTTTACAAGATATTATTATTATTTATTGTAAAATTTTGCACCCCCTAAAAGTGCCGCCCCCACTATGCTACGCCACTGGGTACAGTCTAAAAAATTCCTTGAATTGCTTGCCTGGATTTGATTTTACATTGTGAACAAATGTATTTTTTACACTTACATATTTCATACACTTAAAAAATATTTAGCCAAAATAAATTTATTTTGAATGTAGAAATGTTGGAAATTAACTAATTAAAATACATATATTAATCATTTTTTTTTAATCAGTAAGTTACATTTTTCTGTAAAGTTCACTTAATTCTACAAAATCTTAGTGTTTAATGATGCTAAAAACACTTATATTTTAAAGATAAATGATATTCAATCTTTTATCTTAATTTTGTAACACGCATCTTAAGGAAACTACTCAGAGGTAAATCCAGTTCGAGCTACTTTTCTTGGTAGCTACTCCGTTGATTCCTGACAATGAATATATGTAATATGAAAGCACTTAAGTTTTCTAAAAAGTTTTAGTTCTAAAAAAATATCATTTTAAATTCAATTGTCTTTATTTTTTCCAAATCATTGTAAGTGTCTTTATTAGCAAATGCATTCATAATTTAAATATAAATGTATTTCTTAAATTTTTAATTTGATTCTATTTAAATACAGATAGTGGACTTTAATTGGACATTTGCATTTTGAAAAAAGATAATTGAAGTTTTAAGAAAGGATTTCTTCTTGTTTCTGTGTAAATAATACAGGCATAGAAGCTACACCATAGTAAGTATTGTGTAGAATTGTTGTTATATTAGTAAGTATTTTCAAAACAACTTTGTTTTTGAAAGTCTATCTGTGACAGAATGGATAACACAACAAAACATTGATAGTGGAAGGTTTAAACCTGACCATGTGGAGTTTACAGGGTTTTTTTCATGTGTATAACACATAAATAGGGACAAGTTCCATGGGCATTTATAGAAAATTTTCCAGGGAGAAAAACTTGGAGACAAAATATTACATCAATATACAGTGGGTGATCGGTTAACGAACAAATCGGATAACGAACACTTTCGCGAAAGATTTTTATAATCGGACAACGAACATATGTTCGGATAACGAACACTTCACTGAACAAACACAACAAGCGACGTAAAATAACGAATACCGATTGGTCTTCCTTTGTCTCAGGCAACAATTTGAAACTTTTTGGAGCGCGGGAGACGTCGACATCGACGTTCTACCCAGTATATACTGATCGGATAGTATTCCCCCAAACTTTGAAATTCTCCCTTGTAATTCCAGCCTTTTGTATTTCTGACAGAAACAATTCTTTTACGTTTTCTTTTGAAAATGCGGATTTATGCCGATATCTGCTATTAAAGATCTTTTGAAGAAGTAGGAAGATGTCAAAACAACGGTCTTAAAATGGCATCCAAACCAAGTTGAGGTTAATAGGCCTAGGGATCTCTACAATTACAATGCTCTTAATTACTTCTGAAAAATCATGAATAAGACAGAAAAGCAATCGACATTGGATAGATTCTTTAACCCCCACAAACAGAAAAAACATGACTAATAAAAATGCAAGACCGTGTATATATGTATTTTTATTATTACATATGAATAAACGTAGTAAAAAAAGTATATACTTTTTTTATTTTGGGGGGTCTCCAGAACGAATTAATTAAATTCCCATAGAAACCTATGGTAAATCGATAATCGGTTAACAAACAATTCGGATAGCGAACAAAGTCTTGGAACGGATTATGTTCGTTAATCGATCACCCACTGTATCTTTATTTAATTAATTGATTTTTCTGGGTTTTTCCAGAGTAGATTACAAATATAGAATACAGTATTGCGTCAAAGTGTCCTGTGGTGGAAGGTGGAAGGTTACATGTCTCAATCACTTTTAAAATTATAATTTGCAGAATTTTTTACTTATCCCAGTGACAAATGCCTCTTATTCTCCCATCTGCAGATGCTCATGCCAGTTTCCCTTAGATGTCCTTTTGGGAAGTATACCCTACTTGGCAGATCATTCATATGTTGCTTGTCCAATTCAACGATCTGGTTTTATATATTCTAGAAATTCACTCTAAATTGGTTTGATTATCCAATTGTATTAAAGCAACTTTACTGGGCAATGTGCTTGTCGTATGATTTCAATCAGTTCATTAATTGAACCATTACTAGGGCAAGGTTTTGGAACAAAGCATGCCAAAAATTTGATGGTTGGCCTTTATTTAAAAATGTTTAACTTATTAACTATGTTTAGAATTTATAAATCTGTTATATTCTGAAAATGTGCTAAAATATTTTGAAAATATTAAATAATTAAAATGACTTTATTTATGAAAAACGTTTTTTAATTAATTAATTTTGTTGTTATCGTTTTTTTAATGGAATTTATTGTGGTAATGAATTTTGAAATAATCTGAATGAGTGGATTAGAATTGAATTTAAATACTTCTGTATCATTTCAATATTGAAAATGATTTCCCTACACATTATACATGTTGTAAATACAATTTTTCAGGTGTTAAATGTTTTATTTTCTTAATTTATTATTTAAGAATTGAAGAAAATAAAACAAATTTAATCAAATGAATGAAATGAAAGGTATGGGGCTGTCCATAAATGATGTCCACACTAGAAGGGAGGGAGGGGGTTATAACAAGTGGGAGAGGAGGGATTGAACTTCAGTGGATATTCATTTTATTTCATTAAATTTTCTACAGTTTATGCATTTTATTATTCATAAAATGATAATGGTTTTGAGGGGGAGTTGACTTTTGTTGGACGTTCAAGGAGGGGAAAGGGTTACAGAAACTTGAACAAACTGGAACAATGGAGGAAGAGGGAGTAAAAATTTCAAGAAAAATGCAGATGTGATTTATGGACAGTCCCTATCATATAGCATCTTTCACTTTGATTTCTTTAAATCTTTTAATTTTAGATATTGCTAGTCTGCACAGTGAAAGCATAGACATGACTCAGCCTGAGCCGGAAGGGTATTTCAGATGAAAGGGATAGAAACAGCATGTGAGTAAGAATTAAGATTAAATAATTTTATAAGTAATATTATTTGTAAAAAAAGAAAACAATAAAATTATTTATGATAAACAAATATAAACATCTTATGAAACTCAATACATTACAATAAAGCTACGACGACTGCCATATAACTATAATTTAATTAATCTAAAATTATTTTATTAAATTATAATTATTAAATTTAATAAGTGATGGTGCCTAATGCCTCCTTCTACAGTCAAATTTATCAGTAATGTATAATTTTTATTGCCAATATATAGCCTGGTGTTATAAGGCAGTTGTTATAGTTTTATTTATGATAAAGATGGTATGAAAACATTTTTGAATTTAAAATAAAAACAGATGAAAGAGATCAGATCCATGTCTCAACTCCCAAGGGGTAGCCATATGTCTCCTTATATCCTCTTCATCTGACATAGACCATAGATTGATGTCTACTCTTCTACTGTGCAGACTATAATAACTATATTCCTTAAGAATTCAACATTATGCATCAGCAAAACTACTATTAAGAAAAGATCACAGAGGCCCTCAAAATCTATAAATCAGTGATTAAGGGAAACTGTCAACTACAAGCAGGGCCGTGCCGTGCTATGATGCAGAAATGCGGCCGCATCAGGCGGCACCGTGAGAAGGCGGCATAAAAAACATTTAAGGGGTAGAATTTCAAAGACTTGCATCATACTTAGAAAATATACCGCACGGCCCTTGTAAGATACACCAAATAATAACAATTATAGCCTATATAAGACTAATAATTTATATAAAGGGCGGCAAAAAAACATATAAGGGGCGGCATTTCGAAGACTTGCATCATACTTAGAAAATCTACCGCACGGCCCTGACTACAAGGACCTAAACATGATAATGGATGCTTGGAAATCCTTGTTTGATGTCTACACAATGGAATGCAGTGCACATTTTTGTTGTTATTTTTTTTGTCATTTTTGTGTAGGTTACAGTGATATAGATTGTAAAATTTATATTTATATTTAAACACATTTGGTATTCAGTTATTGATGTTCTGTCTGTTAGTATTTATAATTGATTTTTGGAACATTAACCCGATGAAGATCATTAAAAATGATCAAAAACATTAGTTTTTCCAGTTAGTGAACCTTTTTGCTGCTATTCAAGGTTGTATGTGATTGAGTATAAATTGAAAAGTTAGTCAATAATAAAAAATAACAATAATTACTCTTTGTACTTAACATACTGTATTTGATTTTGTTATTGATTTGATTTATTTCGATAATTGGAAAATTTTATATAAAATGTACAGTTCCTATTTATAAGACAGGAAAATCAATTGTTTATGATCTGTTTTGAGTTAAGAACTATGATCAAATTTTTTTACAGTAATTACATGGGTAAAGCAGAAAACATTTTTACATTGAATTCATACTTTACAAAATAAATAGATGAACAATATTTTCACTTAAGCTTTACGCACTATTGTTCTGTGTTTACTTCTTAGCATAATTATCTAACCAATTTCTCAGCATAATTATCTAACCCAATATTTTATCTATATTTTTATGCTGCCAGATAGAATTTGGTTAGAAAGTTACAAAGCCATAGATGAACAAATGTCTTCATATGTTACATGTTTTTCACTGAGAAATTTCTCTATTTGTCCAGACAGATGAAAGTAGCACTATGAGAGTCTCTAGCTACAATATTGTACATTATTTTGCTTGCATTTTGCAAAAACTAGGCAAAGACTTTTTGATCTGTTCTAATATTTATTACTAGATATTTTCTAGGAAAATGAAACTGAGCTCCACATCTAAGTTTTTCTGTTTTAGCTTTACATGAAAAGACAAATATGGTAAAATACTTATAATGTTCTGTCTAAAACAGTTTAAAACACACAGGTTATGGGGAGGATATGCATGTCCAACATCATAACTGAGAGAAATGTAAAGAAACATTTAAAACGTCACGTGTAGGCTGTTGGACATTTTAAATGTCCAACAGCCTACCTACTCCAGTAACCAGTTAAAATATGCAGGCTCTGCATATTAAATGCCTGTCATAAGATCAAGATAAAAAATTGTTTTAGAGATTAGGGTAAATTGACAACAATCAGAAATGTCAGCTTGCAATAGGTTGGTAGATTTTACATGTCAAACTTTGATCTCAAATATCTAGACCCATAGATCAAATTCCAAAATTCCAGTTTTGTCACATGGGCCTTGCTGAGTTTTATTGTACATATTTGCAAAAAATTGTGTTTAGTGGTCATGCAGTTGCTTTAAAATTTGATTGTAGACAAAACATTTTCTGACTTATGCAGAGTTCTGCTCCATAAGTGACTTTAGTTGTATCAGAATAAAACAATTCCCTTATAAATAGTTTTTTCTATTTTTTTGCTAGAGTGAATGTAAAATATTTTATTTAATGTAAATTTATTCTGTGAGTAAATCGAATGAAAGTGTATTAAAGTGAATTTATAGAATTTTTCAAATTCTTTAACTTTGGATTTATTATGATATAAAAAAGTAGCTTTAGTATAAATTTAAAATGTAGCAATTAAATTAATTATATAAAATTGTTATTTCAGAGTATTTATAACATTTATCAAGATGGCTTCTGATCTGGAATTACGAAATGAATTGTCGGCTCATTTAGAACAGTTAACGACTAATGGAGATAAAGAATTAAATCAAGAAATTATGAAAAAAGTGAAAAATATCTGCAAAAAGTCTGAAGAATATGTTAATCATGCATTTCACGTAATTATGATGCAAATTTGTAAACCTCATTCGGAAATCCGCTACAGTTCCCTTTTAGTGATTAATGAGTTATTCAAAAGGTCGCATATTTTTCGTAAACTTTTACTGTCAGATTTTCAAAATTTTTTAGAACTCTGTGCTGAAACTAATAAAGACAAGTTACTACCACCTCCTAAAAATGTAGGAAAAAACCTAAAAATTAAAACATTAAAATTTGTTCAAGAATGGAATGATCAATTCGGAGAAGATTATAAACGTTTAAAACTTGGTTTTAACTTTTTGAGAGAATGTAAAAAAATTGACTTCGCAAATCTTCAGGCGCAGGATGCCTTTATTCAGAGAAGAGACGAAGAAGCTAGACAACGTCAGGAAAATATTATCCAAGACAAAGTCAATAAAACTTTAGTGGAGATGACAGATAAGATTCCTGAAATTGAGAGTGTTTTAAATCAAATGGATAATTGTTTCAATCTTCTGTTTCCAACTGTTAATGATTTTTGCAATGATTTAGAAACCCCTTCTACTTCAAAGCTTTCAAGCATTTTAGAAGAATCTAGTGAAAATGACAAAGAAGATCTTGAAGATAAATTGGAAGTTGATGAAATGATGAGACATCACGGGCTTAAAAATATGAAAGATAATTATAATCTTGAGATTGTAATTAATCCTTGTGTTCACATGAACACAGATACTTTGGCTATTATTGAAAATTTAAAAGATCTCCATACTCAGATTAATAAATGTTTATTACCAATGGTTGGTAAATGGTTAAATATTTTTACAAAAGGATCTAATTGTTCAGGTTCACTTAAGAGAGCAATAGACTTAAAAAATTTGCTAATGACTAAAATTGAAAAGTTCAGAGAACTAAAAATCTTACCTGAGCAGAATTCTGTGGATGATGATCATGAGGAGGAGGAGGAAGAAGAGGAATTTATAGCTGTAGAAGAAAAAGAAGGCTTAGAAACTGTAATTCCACCTCATTTAAGACATGAATATGGTTTAGAACCCATTAACAATAATAATAATAAACAAAATACAAAAGTGAAAGATAATGTAGATGAAACAAAAGATCCTACAACAGTTGCATCAAATCTTCATGCAATATATGAAAAAATGGGTAAAAAATTACAAAACAGAAAAAATGAAAAAACTGAAGATCCTGTTCCTTGTTGTAGTAAAGACATTGACATAGATGCAAAAAAAGCAGAAATGCTTTCTAAAGCACCTCATAAACCCTACGATATTGATCTTTATCATTGGGAAGACGAAAAACTTGAAGCACCAACCATTATAAAATACGAACCCTGTAATAAATTTTGGTTGCCAAGTCATGTTGACGTAACTGAATTTCAGTTAAAAGACGGTGCAGCAGCTCTTAGAATGAGAAAAATAGACTTTACTGGTGAATTTGTTCCAGTAAAATGGAGCTGTCGAGCTCCTCTCCCAAGTGGTAAATTATGCCCCAGGAAAGACAGATATAAATGCCCTTTTCACGGAAAAATTGTACCTAGAGACAAATACGGAAATAAAGTAAATTCAGATGAAAAATCTAAATTGAACATAGAATTGACAAATGAGGAAAGTGTACCAGATTGGCAAGATCCAGAATTGTTACGAGATTTAGAAGCAACTACCGGTATTAATCTGAAAATGCCAGAAAAGAGAAAGAAATTACAAAAAAAATCTTTTCAAAAGAAGAAAAAGAAATATCCTAACTTAACTGATGTTACTAAAGAGGAAAATACTGTTCGAAAAAGGCTAGAGAAGAAAGTCTTTAATAAAAGAGCCGTTCAAAACATCTGTGAGCAATTGGATTCTATTGATAGGAAAAAATATGACGATAAATTTGGAGATCAGTGGGCTTATGCTTTTAAGTAGTAAGACTGAAAAGTATTCTAAAATGCTATATGTAATTAAGATTGATATCTATTTATACAAAATATTTATTTAATAAATAATTTGCATAAAAATATTTTAATAAAATTTATTTACTTTACGAAATCATATTATTATTCAATACTTGAGATATTTACTTAAAATTAAGAAACAATATAAATATTTTATTACTTAAACATTTTATTAGAACACGGATAAAAAATCTACAGAAAAATAATATAAATCTAATCAACTAAAATTTTTAGCAAAATAAATTTAAAAGAAACTTGTTGTTTAGAAACATTTCCAGAATAGATATTTGTGTCCGCTGTTAAAATATAATATTCAGTTTATAATTGTAGATCACATTGAAAATATAAGTAAAGTTTAGTCTTGACCTTACTATTTCTTCAGCATTATTAGACTCACTTTTTGTGCAGTTACTGCTTTTTAGGGATTTGGGTTTGTTTCGTGGCCAGATACTACTACTGTTGTCAACCTTTTCTCTCTAAATATGGTTCCGTTGTCTTTTCTATGGGCTAGTGGCTGTGGCATCTTGGGGTTTTTTTAATCTTCCAGATTAAGAGAGAGCCCCAACATGCCACATCCATTTATCTATGACCACAGTGCCATAGATAAGATGCCAACACCTAGCAATTTCATATTGAAGTACAGTGTATCCTTTGCATTTTAAACAGGAATTGGCATATTTAGTAAATGCATTGCTTTTCAGTCTTAATCTTACACAGATTATAAATATTAATGCATAATTGAACTGCATATATATATATACAAAATTCCTACAAAACATTTACAAATTTTATATTCATATGCATAAACACAGTATTAAACTGAATAAATAGATTTGGGCAAAATACAGTGGAACCCCGGTTAACAAACATCCTGGTTAACGACCAGATCGTTTAACGAACTTTTATTTTGCAAAAATTTTGTCTCGGATAACAAACAAAATTTGGATAACAAATGTAACGGTATTTTGTGTAAAATTTTAGTTGGTGTTAGGCATGCGCGAGTTAAGCATTGCTTTTCCGAGTGTTTGTGCTATACTTCTTTTTTTCAGTTTTGTAATTTATATACAGTATTTAATCAATATGGCATCAAGGAAAGAAAAAGTCATAATGGCAATAGAAAACGACAATGCGCTATCGCATTTCAGAACGATTTTGCTTAAAAGAGTAAGACAATCAATTTTAGATCAATTTCTTTGTTCCTTACGGAAAGAGTTTGTTTCTTTGTTAAGTTATGGCAATGCAACACTTGGGCAATCTGACTAGGGGGAATGTCTTCTGGGAGGTATTTTTAAGGGAAACTGGCCCTATTTAGGTGTTACAGATGTGGAGAAATCCTGGAAAACTCCATATGGCCAGCCAGTCTGAGCGAGGTGCAAACCCACGAACGAACTCCCCTTGTTCAAGGTACGAAGACCACTTAGCCACTGGTAGGTTTTTTTTACCGAAAGAGACTTCGACTTGAAGAATCTTCCGATGAAGTGCTACCTTGTATTATCAGTTTTCATTAAAGTAAATCTGACAAAAAGCACAGAACAAATTGAAAATTTCATTATTCTAAAATCCATGTACAAATTTGAGACAGCATGCACACTTACTCGAATAAAAAAATATTGAATAACAGAGTTTGAACTTGTATTGTGAAATTTTGTACAGAGGATTTCTCAAATTCTCAAACTATGTTAGAGCAAAACTGTGTTGTATGAGGGATACCTGTACATTCAAATTTCTTAGAAGTAGATAAACAAAAAATTAGATTGGACCAAACAACAGTTCTGTTTTCACTTCATCCTTATTAATTAACACTTTTACTTCTATTTTTAGTGATGCTTCAAGAATACAAGATTTTAAAGTTTTCCATCTGACATTTTGCATCTAGGTGTTAAAATTTGACTTTACAAGGAAAATAGACATTGCACTGCAGCATTACTGGTGATAATAGTGTATTTTAAACTGCACATTTTACATGACAATAGTTGTATAACATACTCCAACTAACATGATAACTGTATTTTCTAAATTTCTAATTTTACATGAAAATTCCTGTGAACCATTTTAAATATAGTAATACATAATAACTTGATGAAAGTACAAAACAAAATAAAAATACACTTACATAATAAGCCATATATTTTCTTACATATGTGTGTCAGATGTAGAGAAACCTGGTTGGTTGTTCTTGTTTGAATTCAGGGCTTATCAACTCACAATGTAAACATTTTGAATGCTACAATTCATGACTTCTGCAGAGGAGGACAAATGGAGTATTTGCTTCTAGTAAAAAATTCCATAGATTACAACTATAAAATTGATTGAGATATGTAAACTTTTTACTTTTGACAATAGGATGATTTGATGCAATATCATATTCTATAATCTACTTGTGAAAAAATAACAGTTAAATAAAAATTTATTGATAAAAGTTATTTGTCTCCAAGCTTTGACACCCTTTGGAAAATTTTCTGTGGACTCCCATGCTACAATTGCTCAAAAATGAGTAATGTGGGATGGCCACTCTTATTGACTTTCACAAAAATTGAATTTATCTTCATAAAAATTAAGAAATGTTCTCTCTGCTTAATACAATAGATTATTCCAAGGTATCATTATAGTGAATTTAAAAGAAAACTAGTTAAATAGTAGTTAACTATCTAGTTTAATTACATTAACTACTGCTCATCTCTAATAACAAAATGTAATTTTTATTAATATTAATACTGAAAGAAAAAAAATGCAAATATTTTAAGATGCTATTTTTCAACCAGGCCCTTGTATAATACAGTGAATGAAAAACATGTATGTATTAATTTTTTATATTAGCATTAACAGCTTTAAAAGTTTGTAAAAGAAATAACAGGATTAAATCTATAAATGATATAATCTGACGGCTGAGGTGGTTAATGCATCAGCCTATAACTCTAGAGAATCTGGGATGGAATGTAGGCAAGCAATCCCAGGAATTTTTGGCAGTTTGTCCTGGATATGTCAGGCCCCGTCCCTCACCATCCAATTGTCCTCATTGTCAGTCCGGCCAAACCTACAAGGGATATAAAAAAAAAGTCCTCAGTGCTGATGGCAAAAAGAGCCAAAAATGCAAAAAAAAAGTGTTATATTTTTTCTGTTTTAATTTTCTACATCACAAGAGGTAGAAAATGCATTTGCTAGCACATACAATGATTAAATCTGTATTCTGGTAAAGCAACTTATCTGAAGAATTGAAACTTGTCACAGAATAATAAATTAATGAAGTTCCAAATCTTTCAGTGAATTACTTTAGAACTGTAGACAAGGTATTGTTATAGAATACAAATCTAATCCTAGTAATTCTGAATAATATGTATAAATACCAGTGGAGTCGGAGTTTTGGTGTTTTAGCCGGAGTCGAATGGTAAGGAAAAGTCAGAGTTGGAGTCGGTAGATTTTTATGCGACTCCATAGCCCTGATAAAAATGAAGCATCTTTGTTATCAAGTTGTCATTTAAACATTTTTCATAATCAAATTTGGGTTATATGATTTTATAGAATTCTTAATACCATAATACAGAGTTTCTCTTCAAGAATGAGAGATAAAATGCAAATTCCAAATATTTTTATTTATCATACACTTAAAATTATAATGGAAAATATAAAATTATTAAAACTTGAAATATTAGATAAAAGTATATTTTTAAAAAAGATACAATAACATTTTAATGCAGTGTGTCTACAAAGTCTGTAGAGTTTCAAAAATTTATTAAAATAAAAACTGGAGTTAGATTATTTTCAAATGTTTACATAATATCAAGTAAATCATTACGTGTTTTTTTTTTTCAAATTGTTAATACATTTCTCCGTGGACTCCATTCATTGCATGGGGACACGTAAACAATATTCAATTTCTTTCCATAGTTCAAATTCTTATGGAGAACTTTGTGAATTGTAGATTTGCCATTTGTCATTGAACAGGAGGCAGTATAGATGGGCTTAGTTGGGTTATGATGAAATGACTGAAGATACACTCAATGTCTTCGTTAGATGTTCTTGCCTTCCAGTCTTCAGTTTATTTAGCATCATTCTTATTTCCGTAAATTGCTTATGCCAGTTGCAAATAGACTGGTTTGCTGAAGGATGTTTTCCATATTTAGTTTTGTAATTTCTTTGTGTTCGAATACCTGATTTTGTTTCGATAAAATACGAAACACACTGTGTTGTGGACTAGTCATTTCTGAAAAATTTTAATTTTCTTGTAATTTTTTAATTTCTGTCTGAAACAAAAAAAAAAAAAACATAATATTAATGAAATTTTTCAATCAATCAATCAATTCTTTATTGTATGAACATTAGTTTGTTACAAAATCAAAAATTAGTAATATTTAACAAGTTAATAATTTAGTACAAAATAAAATATAGAGTAATAATCAGTTTTTGAAAAGCACAATATATTAATATCATCTTTCCAAGACTTAAACCTTACTAAATACTTGTCTCTATTAGCTTTAAATTTTACACAGTGAAGAAATACATGTTCCCAAGTTTTGCATACTTGCATAGTACAGTTACTACTAATTTTTTCAGGATCTATTGTTAATCTTCTATTATATGTTAAGATATAATTTTGACTGCATCTCAAATGAAGACTTAATCATTCAACTTAATAATTTATATCCACAAGCAAATAATCTTCGCATATAAACGTCATTTTAATGCTACAGTATGATTGAAAGTGCTTATTTTTTTCTAACAGAAACCAATCTTGTATGATTTGTTCATAGCACAGTCTTATAATTAATGGTTGATAACATTTGATCAGATGAGGATCTTGAGATAGCCATAAAAAAGAAAAACCAAATCGATCCAACAGATTTTGCAATGCCAACACCCAATTATATGGGTAATCATTTGTCATTGAACACAATTTATGAAGTTTATCATACACTAGTTTAATGTAGCTTTTATTGTCTAATTTTAAGAGACATATCTAAAATAAAATTATTACTTTTATTGTAATTAACAATATTCTAGAAACTCCAAACTCCAATCTCAACATGTATGCTGGAATTTTATTTTATAACATAAAAGTTTTTCTA